CATCAAATAAGCACATAGATACATGTATAATTATAAATATCTCACTCTTAATTAATAAAATTTTGAGAAATGAGTGCCTGGATTGTATACAGCCTTCTTACTGGGTATCCCTTACCCACACTCAGAGAAGGCCTTGCTGGTTGGTCCAACAACCAAACTAGGTGATGTCACAAGTTTTGTTACTGTGTCAGAACCATTGTGCTCAGGAAGACATGGTGGAGAAGCTTCCAAAGGGCCAGCCTTTCTGGTTAAAAAATGGTTAAGCACTTTTTTGAAAGTTACAAATTAATACCATGCGTGTTATAAAAATTCAGGCAGTACAGAAAAAAAAATGGAAAAGAAAACATCTTCCCTCTGCCCCTCCAAGCTCACTTGGAAATAGAAACAATGAGTAGATGTGTGTCCTTCCAGCAAGCTGCTCACCCAATTATAGGCTCTAGGAAGGCAGGGATGGGACCTGCCTTGTTCACTGCAGTATTCCTGGTAGGTGCTCGGTAAATAGTTGTTGAATGGGTTAACAAATAAGTAATAATTACACATAAAGGCCCAGAGGTAGGTTTTGTAGAAGATCACAAAGAGGATTCTGCCATGTATACTTTATTTCATGTAGCCTGTTTGTTTTGTTTTTACTCAGAAGTCCAAAACGAACTTTCTTCCATGTGTTGATTTCTAATTTATGCATTGTCTTTGCTGTGGGTTGAATTGTGACCTCCAAAAGGTATGTTGAAGTCTTAATCCTTGGTACATGGGAATGTGACCGTATTTGGAAAGAGGATCTTTGCAAGATGTGATTAAATGCAGATGAAGTCGTACTTGATTAGGGTGGGCCCTTCACCCCATATGACTGGTATCCTTATGAGAAGACAAGAGACAGAGATGCAGGGACAATGTCAAGTGATGCAGGGACAATGTCAAGTGACGATGGAGACAGAGGCTGGTGTGATGTGGCCACAAGGCAAGGAGCACCAAGGATTGACGACCACCATTGGAAGCTAGGAAGAGGCAAGGAAGGATTCTGCCCAGAGTCCCAGAGGGAGATTTTGGGTTTCTAGCTTTCAGAATTGTGAGACAATGACCTTCTCTTATTTTAAGCCACTTGGTTTGTGGTATTTGGTACAACAGCCCTAGGAAACTAAGGCACTCCTCTTGAAAGACATTTATGTTGCCTCTAATGTTGCATTATTGTCATAGTGATGCCTGCCACCATTTTCTGAGCAGTATGGCTGGGACCTGGCCTGTTTGGAGAGGGGACCCCTAGAATTAGTCCTTTTCTCCAGAAACTCCTGAGAACAATCATGGACTCCAGCCTGGAGCCTCAGACTCAGTCTACACCTTGGCAGGGTTGCCAGATAAAATACAAGATGCCCGTGTCATATTTGAGCCACACCTATTCTGAAAAGTTATTTGTGGCTTCCCTGAAATTCAAATGTAACAGGGCATCTGTGTTTTTGTTTGCTGAATCTGGCAACCCTAAATCTCGGGGCTGCGGGCAACCCACGCTGTACCTGTAGGAACCCAGAGATCCTGATTTTCTGCAGGAATTCTGGAAGATCTCTACTATTCCTGGATCTCTGACTCTCCCCTCACATCCTCAGCATTCTCAGTGGAACCCAGATGTCCTGCGGGGCCTGTCTCCCCCAGAACCAAGCTGTGCCTCCCTCCTGCCCACATCACAGCAATCAGTGCTCCTTTGTTCTGCCCCACCTTTTCAGTGGCAGACTGTGCCCATCTCCCTCTGGTCTGCTCCCTCCCCTCCCCATTCACCCCCACTGTGGACCTGGCCCTCAGGGAACTAACTAATCAGTCCCCTGAGTGCCAAGTGCTGAGTGAGGTTGGAGAAGGAAGTGCTGCGGGAGCCTGTAACAGCGACGGGCAAGGCTGCGTAACAAATCCCCCAGGGCTGAAAATGCTCTTCCAAGGGAGTCAGCCTCAGAAATCTCCAGGGAGGGGTCCTGCCTTGAGCTTACTCTAGACTGGTGATTCTCTAAGTGTATACAGTGAAATATTTGTAGGTTCTGATTTTTTTAAGTAGTTTGGTGACCAAATGACCTTAAGTAAGGAAATTGATTTAAACAGATTTGCACCTGCTCAAAGTTACTGCAGGGGTTTTTGAGATCTGCACGGAGATGGAGGATGCAACTTTGCTCAAACCCACCAGATCACAGAACTCTTTTCCCAGGGAGCCTTTGGGAAATGTCACTTTTAAGGATCTAGAGGAAAGTAGATATAATCAGATGGATATCAATATTATTTAGAGTCTAGAATTTATTTCATTTTGGCATTTTTGGGGAATTCCCTCCCTTTTGGGTATATCATCAACTTAATGGAGATAAGTTTCATGATAGTCGATGGTACAATTTAACATGAAAGAACATAAGTGCAAAGAATACTTTGAAACTTTGAAAAACAGTCTGTGCTAAAACTTTTAGGAGGCTGATTATAAATAAATGCCAAAATTCCTTAAAATGTGAAAAAAAAAAAAAAAGAAATTTCTAGGGAGGAGACCTGGCCTAGTGTGGAGGCCCAGGAGAAACCTCTTCTGGGAGGTGATGTCCAGGCTGAGGCTGAAGGTTCAGTAAGGGGTAGGCAGGTGAGGCTTTGGGGCAGGCCAGGGGTCCGAGAGAGTCAAGAACACAAGCTCATGTGGGAGAGGGTGGCCTGTCTGAGACCAGGGAAGAGGCTGGTGTGGCTGGAGTGAGGAGGGCTGAGAAGAAAGCAGAGAGTTGAGCCTGAGAGCCATGAGACCACCTCTGGCCAGGCCTTGTTGGCTTCTGCTAGTGTCTGGCTGCCCCATTCTCATATGACTGCCCCCCTCCTTCCAAGTCTGGAGTTCACTAGCCTTTCTGCTAGGTGAGGTGGGAATCAGAGGCCATGAACACTGTGAGTGTTAGCTCCATGGGGGCAGGGGATGTCTGCCCGCAGCCTGTGAGAAATGGGTGTGGGAGTTCGCCGACAGACTTAGAAAATCCCCATATTAGATAAGTCATGTCGAAAATACTGGTTTTTGTTATTGAGAAGACGCTATAAGTGTTCAAGTATGTGGTAGGCATACCACACCTCCTTGTGAAGTCCCCTCCCTCTGAGTGTGGGCTGGACCCGGTGACTTGCTTCTAATGAATAAAACATGGCACGCATGAGAGAATGTCACTTTTGAGGTCAGGACTGTGACTTCCATCCTGCTCGAACCCACTTTCTGTGACTCTTCTCTCTCACTGGCTCTGTGGAAGCCAGCTGTGGCCTTGGGGCTGCCCAGCGGAGGGACCCATGTGCCAAGGAGCTGAGGGAGACTTTCAGCCAACGGGCAGTGAGGAAATCCAGGCCTCCAGCCCAGCAACCCACAGAGAACTGAATCCAGCCAACGACCACATGAGTGAGCTTTGGACGGCATCTTTATTGTGTCCCTCGAGAGACCCTGAAGCAGAGCACTCAGCTACGCTGTCTCTGGATGCACGACCTTCACTGTGACCTGGGGTTTAATAAAAGTTGGTGAAAGACACTCCAGCTTTAGGGTAATTTGTAGCAGTAGGTAACTAATACAAAGTAGGATTTGGAAAAGAATGGCTGATTTGACAGCCATACTTGTCACCATCCTAATGTATGTATATAGTCACATAATTTGAACTCCTGGTGGGCAGGCTAATTTTGAAATCTTCTTTCCCTCCCCGCCCCCAACTTATCAATAAGGGGGAGATGTCATACATCAGGGTCCATGGTCCATGTATATGTCCCCCGGGGTCCCACCAGAAGGCAGAAACTGTACCAGTCACCTTCACAGAATTTATTTTATTATTTTTCTTTAAAATTTTAAAATATTTATTTATTTATTGTTTATTTATTTATTTCGAGAGAGAGGGAGAGAAAGAGTGAGCGACGGAGGGGCAGAGAGAATCCCAAGCAGTCTCTGCTGTCAGTGCAAACCCTGACCTGAGCTGAAATCAAGAGTCGAACGCTCAACCAAATGAGCCACCCAGGCACCCCTGTTACTTTTTTTTTTTTTTTTACCTTCACAGAATTTAATTTGAAGAATCACATCACTTAATTCCATCACAGACACAGTGTGAAAGGCGAAAATCATCAATAACCAATAATCAAAATTACTCTCTGAAAATCATCTATCTAGATCATCAGGACCTGGGGCCTCGGAAACTCAAAAGCAGAGAGTTACTTAGCATGATCCTGTCACTGCATTTCAGAGTGTCTTTCATTTCCTTGGGGGCGGCGGAGGCCAAGAATCTATTTTGAACACGAGCAGAGATTTCTCTCCCTCTCCGTGTCTCTGATAAGCGTGGTTAGTTGAGTTAGCTGGTGGGGAGGGGTTGGCGGCGACACAGCGGGTAGTAAAAGCATTCCCCATTCCTGTCACAGTTCTACAGCTGCAGTTTTCCAGGCCTGATTGCCCATTGTGTTGATGTCCCAGTTTACTAAACCACTTCCCTAGTCTGGTTCCCAGTTTTTGACCTTTAAAGAAAAGACTTCAGTGCACGCATTGATGCAGATAACACTGGGCTTCCGTTGGAATTATTTCCTTGGAATAAAGTCCCAGGAATGAGATTATTGGGTCAAAGGAAGAGAAACAGCTTTATGGGTGTTGCTATGAGATACTTTATTGCTTTCAAAGGAGCTATGCCAACCAACGTCAACAGTGTAGAGCATATGAAGGGATAGCTTCAGGGCAATAAGCTATTCGCTCCCGGGAAATCAGCTCCCAGGCCCTTCCAAAACTACCTGAAAGGCTTCACAGGCGAGGCAAGTGCGATGCAGTGTGGAGTCCTGGGCTGAGAAATAGGAAGTCTGGGGGTGCCTGGGTGGCTCAGTCAGTTAAGCCTCCCACTTCAGCTCAGGTCATGATCTTGTGGTTTGCGACTTTGAACCTTGCATCAGGCTCCGTGCTGACAGCTCTGAACCTGCTTCAGATCCTCTGTCCACCCCCTCTTACTGCCCCTCCCCCCCACATAAATACACATTAAAAAAAAAACTCTTAAGAAATAGAAAGTCTCTAGGTCTAATGCCAAGGGAGCAGAGTAGTTAACAGTGTTGACTGCGGACAACAGGTCCTGAGTTCAAATTCTGCCTTTGCCCCTTAATCTTTCTGAGACATGTATTTTCTCATTTATAAAACGGGAATTATAGCAGTACTGAGCCTTGCAGAGGTGAGGGGAGGATGAAATGGGTTATTATCTGCTGGGTGATTAGATCAGCCCTTGGTTCATCACATGATAAACGCTGAGTAAATAGTAAGAGCAATCATTATTATCATATCTATTATCTTATGACTGAAGCTCTCCCTTCAACTCTAGGTCCTGTTTCTCCAGGGGCTGACCATCTCTTCCTCGGGGCTTCCGCAAGAGACCCCGCCCAGGCCTTCAGTTTTTCCTGTGATGGGTCTCCTCTCTCTGAAGCGAGTAGTCTTCTTGGCTTTCAGGCATTGCGTCCCAATGGTCTCTGGGCGCCCCCTTGTGGACAGCTGGCTTTCCTCACTCTCCTCCACTAAAGGGGAAAACCAGCCCTGCACTTGCAAGAGACCAGATGTGTGTGTGTGTGTGTGTGTGTGTGTGTGTGGTGGAGAAGGCCTCTATTACTGCCGATAAAACAGGAAATAGCACGTCATGGCATCCTCCGTGCTGGCTAGAAAGGGGATGAGTCTCTATATGCTTATACAGACGCACGCATGGAAACCGCTTGTGCTGGCTCGCATGTGTGTACGTGCGCCCTTGTGCGTACACTTGATACCACTCTTCTTGCCCCAGGGGTCTCATGGGATTCCACTCTCACTATCTGGTTTGAGAAACGAAAGCAATATGCAGACATCATCAGGCCATTATTATGTATAAGAGCACGTATAATCACTTGGTTTATCCGTTTGCTCATGCAAACATTCTGTTCCACAGATACTTACTGAGCGCCAGGTCTCCTGAGGTCTGGCAAGGCAACAGCGACAACGACAGAATCTGTTTCTGCCCTCTCCCAGTCTAGAGGGTGAGACAACCGTTGCAGCACAGGGAAGTGGTAGAGGCGCCAAGGAAGACTGCCTGGAGGAGGGGACGCCTGAGCTGAGGCCCTCCGCAGCTCTGGGGAGGAGGAGTTTACACAAAGAACACTTGCGGGGTTTTTGAAGTGCTGATTTTAACCCCAACTCACCAAGCTAGTCTTTTTCTTGGGGCCTGTTTCTTCCTGAGGTAAGTCAGTGGGCTGGCCATGATACCTACGTTTCTGTCGACCTTGATGTTTGCTGATGTTTCATTCCATCAGCCTGAGGAATTCTCTTTCCTTCTACTCTTTTGTCATACGCCACCCCCTTCCCTGAAGAAATGAAAACCAGACAGAGTGAGAGAGGAGCAGCAAACACTGATACACTCCCGTAGGACATGTGCATGCACGCTAGTGTGAGTGCATGTGGCCCTCCATTCCCACCTCCGCTTGGCCAGAGCCCCCCCCCCCCCCCCCCCCCCCCCCCCGCCGTGAGGGTCAGAAGTGACCTGACAAGGGAGAGGTGGAATGAAGGTGAGGCTTCCTCCTGGGCACAGCGCGAAGGTACAGGCTCCGCAGACACAGGTCCTTCTCCTTAGCCCGATCGCTTAGCTTCCCAGAGCCTGCTTCCCGATCAGCAAAGTAAATACTCGCAGGGCAGGCGTTCTGCGGTGATTGGAGGTGACATATGGGCAGTGCCGTCTCTCGCCCTCCCCCCTCCCCCACGTAGGACCTAGCAGGCTTTTGGAAAATAGGAACTAAAGAGCAGTTGCATTTAACAATATCTAGGGTGGCTCAGACACTTGGCCCTGCAGCGGGGGAAAGGTGTGACTAGAACACGACCCTGACCCTCCCGGCGACAAGGTGACTATAACCTCAGGGAGGATATGAGACAAGTGCCCAACTCACTATATAGGTGGCTCTGTTCCCCGGTTCCAGTTAGAATGAAGTTATTAACTGCGTAGCTTTGGCCACATTACTTAATCTTTCTTTCTTTAAAAAAATTTTTTTAAAATGTTTTATTTATTTCTGAGAGAGAGAGAGAGAGAGACAGTGTGAGCAGGGGAGGGTCAGAGAGAGAGGGAGACACAGAATGCAAAGCAGGCTCCAGGCTCTGAGCTGGCTGTCAGCACAGAGCCCGATGCGGGGCTTGAACCCACGAACCGTGAGATCATGACCTGAGCCGAAGTCGGACACTTAACTGAGCCACCCAGGCATCCCTACTTGGTCTTTCTAAATGTTAGTTTTCTCATCTATAAATGGGGACTTAACAGCAGCTCCCTCACAGAAGTGCTGGGAGCCTGAATGGAGATAATGAATGTGAAAGCACTTAATAGAGTTGCTGGCATGTAGTAGGTGTTCCATACATTGGTGGCTGCTTGTATTGGTCAGGACAGGCTAACTGGTGTAACAAAGAGGCCTAAGAATGTATAATGGCTGAGAGACGATTCGAAGTTTGGTTTTTGCTTCTGGAGTAGTCTTGGGAAATACCAGGTTGGCAGTGGGGCTCATTGGGAGACCGGGTTGCTTACAACTCTGCCACCTTCGACGTGTGTCCTCCAAGATTGCTTCGACCATGGGCATCCAGGGGAAGAGAGTGTAGAGAAGGTACATCAGCTTCTTACCTGCCTCGGCCCAGGAGCCCCACTTGTGCTCCCAGTCTATAGTGAGTCACATGGCCTCATCTTAATGCCATGGGGGCCAGGAAATGTGTGCTGGGCAGGCACTACATTCCCAGGGTCGACTTTGTGTACTACGGAAGGGGAGGCAGGACTCTCTGGGAAACAAAGATTTCTATTACTGTTATTATTGCTATTTCCATCCAGGGCAGAGTGTAGTAAACATTGGATGGGAGGTGAAAGCCCAGTGGGAGCTTAGCAAAGGGGATGATGCATTCTGACTTCTGACGTGTGTGTGTGTGTGTGTGTGTGTGTGTGTGTGTGTGTGTGTGGCAGTGGAATCTGAGAAGTTTTGAAGGAGAAGCGGGATAGCCACAGGGGGAGATGCAGAAAGCTCAGGGTGGCCTGAGGGAATCACATGAACGGAGTCAAGAGGGAGGAAAGCTCAGGGAGGGGGAGTCAGAGGCGGGAAGGGGTGGAGAGGTGTGTTGGCAGCCCATTAGGAAGCCTGGAATGTCAAGATAAGGAGGTGGAAATGCAGAGTCATGCATGGTCTTTCTGCAGTGAAGTCCGGGGGAGTAGGTGGTCATGGAGACAAAGGAGGGAGCGATGGGGGAGGAGGTGAGGAAGTAGAAAGACAAAGGAGGTGGGGGAGGAAAGTCCGGGGTTCACAGAGGAGAGGCTGGAAGGAACAGAGGAGAAGAGGGGAAGAGAAGGGAGGAAGAGAAGAGGTCTTGGACCCACCGACCTGCATCCTTCAGGTCCCCCGTTTGTCACCTGGCAGCCTCCTTTCTTGGAGGCCTGCCCACTTGGGGCCCAGCCCTCCACACCCTCCGTGCAGGGGGAGGTTTTATCTCCTCTTTCGGCTTTGTTCTCCTTCCAGGAAGGAAGTGGCTCCAGATGCCGTGGGTGGGACATTCCTTGGCTCTGCTCCCAGTTCCCAGATTTCTCCTGATTCCTGGTGACAGAGTTGGCACCTCTAACCAAGCCTCGGAGAGGGGCATAGCCTTGCTGGAGAACACCCTGCACCCCAGGAAATCCGAGTCTCGTTTTGAACTGTGCTAGCTCTCTAGGTGCAAGACTCGCCTCCAGAGAGATGCCGTGACACTTCTGTTGCACCCAGGCCTTCGAGGCACCTGCCGTGCTCCCAGCACCATGTGGGGCACCTGGGAAGTCGCACAGAGAAGTCAGACAGGCCTAAGCCCTGTCTGAGCTCACAACAGACTGGGGGCGGGGTGGGTGATAAACCCTTCTTTGGAGGACTGTACCTGGTGGAGTAGACCCACGAGGAGCTACAGGAAGGGGACTTCGTGTTAATGTGTTAGTTAAAGAAAGTGGCATTTGTAATGGTCATGAAGGAGTCACGGAACTCTGATGGCTGATGATGGCTGGGTGGGGATTTCAGGGGGGGAGAAAGAGCCCAGCAAAGGTGGAGAGGAAGGGAGACGCAGGTCTCAGTGAGGGGATCACAGACCAGTCCAGTTTAGCTGAAACGAAAGGGGTGATGGGGAGGCACGGAGCGGCATGGAGCAGGGTGGGGTTAGACAGCGGAGGGCTCGAATGTGAAGCTTGTGTTCATCGAGAGGCAGTGGGACCCTTGTGAGGTTTCTGAGTGGAGGAAGGATGAGGAGGTGACTGACAGCCGGCTCTTTATGCGGGACACAACTTTCCAGCTGCCCTCGCCCGGTGGTGAGACCCTCCACCAGCCTGAGCGGTGGTTCTCAGATCCGTGCCCAGGTCAGTACCCGGAGCAGCACGGACCACGCTGAAGTGGCCACAGGGCTCCGGAGCGGGCGATTCTGCTTCTGGTCTCGAGAATCAAGTCAGGCTCACATGGAAAGGACTGAGGTCCTGGAGGAAGGATGGGCTTTGGGTGGAGAGGGAGCCAGAGAAGTCCGGGTTTGCCTCTTGGCTTCTGCACTCACCAGCTGTGGGACGTTCGGCACGTTGGTAAACTCCACTGGGCCTCCGTTTCCTCCGAGTGACATGAGCATAACAGCGTCTGTTGCTCATGGGTAAAATAAGATGCCCATCTTGGCTTACTTCAATAAATATTCATTTTCTAAATATTGGGAATGGCATGGACAGGGGAGGGGGAGGGTCAGCTGGTCAGTGCTTAGCAGGTCAGCCTGGCCAACCGCCCCTCTTCCTTTTCACCCCGTGGCTGCCCTGGTTGGGGGAAAGTAGGGTGCACCTAGATGATCCATGCCCTTCCCAGCCCTGTGGGATCCGTGCTCCTTCATAGGCTCTCCTGCCTGGCAGGGTGGGTAGGGCCCTGGGATCCGTGCCATCGTCCTGGCTGCTGTGACATCAGGCCAGCAGGAGCCCTGCAGCACCAGGGGTTGGGAATGAGACTATGTGGGGAAAGGGGTGGCGTCGTCAGGATCTCTGGGCCCCATGCCCAACGCTGGCACAGCCACTGGGTCCAGGTCACCAGCGGGGGTGCTACTCAGGCTGGCTCGTCATCTCCCTTTCCTTATGTAAACTTTCTCCAGGAGGGGCGTTAGTCAGAGGAATTCAGGAGGGAGGTTCGTTTTGCCGGGTTTTGTCCCAAGCCCACGAGGAGGGACGTGTTTGAGCTGTCCGCCTCCTGTGGCTGGTCTCAGAGGGAGACAAACGGACTCATGATCCTGCCTCACTAGACCTGGCAGGTAGCGGGGGGAATCCCCAGGTTAGACAGAACTGGGATCTAATCTTGCCTCTGCCACTTATCAGCTGGGTGACCTTGTGCACAATATTAACCTCCTCCAGCCTCAATCTCCTTGACTATAAAATGAGCATAATACCAGTACCAACTCACAGTGTTGTGAGGACCCAATGAGCTCATAGTTACACAGTCTGCACGGTGACCAGGACATATTAGGAACCCCTTAAATACCAGTTTCCCTCCTTCCCTTCTTCTTACCTCCCTTCCTTCCATTCTGGGGAATTTCAAAGCTACTTTGAAGGAAGGGCTCTGAGGCAGCCCCCTCCCTCCCCCTCCTCCCCTCACCGCATATAACCCCTGAAATCCCAGATTAGGAGACAGGGGCAAGCTGGAAACTGGTGACTTCACCTCCCCAGGCACAGACCTCTGGGGTCTTGCCCTTGCAGGAGTGGCTGGCTGGAGTAGAGGGAGAGGAGTGGAAACCAGCTAGGCCCCTGCTTTCCCAATCCTGAGACTGGGTCTCTTAAACTGTCACAGGCCAGACGTCTCATCCCACCTCTGCCAGTAGCTAATTCGCACTAAGATGTTAATAACAATAAGCAAATCGAAGATATTCATACCCAAGGGACGTTGATAGCTGTTATAGGCTTTCTGGTTCAGACAAACTGCCTTCTTAACCAACATGACTTCCCTCCTTGAACTCTGTGGGGGCTCTGCTGGGGTGCTGATTGCCTGCAGGGAGTGGAGGGCCAAGTTTTGGCTCTAGTCTGGGTTAGGGAGCCAACCAGAATAGGGCTAACCAGGGGACACGAGCCAAAGGGCAAGGGGGAGGCACAATGGGAGCACAGGGTCACCTTTGTGACCATCAACTGTTGGAGAGTGGGTGAGCCAGAAGACCTTCAAAGGTTGGGTCAGACCGGATGACACCTTGCACGGGGCCCACCACCCACCATTGCTGGGTGCTTCAAGATGGGCAAAGTCTGGAAGGTGGAGAGAGGGGTGGGGTGACAGGTGGGTTAGAGCATTTTCCGTCCATTTTCAGCACAGGCAGCCCACTCCCTCTGAGGTTATGAGCACACCCACCTCAGCTGACTTCTCTCTGGGGAAAGAAGGCCGTGGTGATCGAGGGGAGCTGGCTGCAGCCTCCCTTGGGCAGAACACAGAAGACCTAGGCCCAGGCTGGGGAGTCAGCTAGGGATCTTGTCAAATGTAGATTTTGATTTCAAAGGCGTAGGCCTGAGCATCTGCATTTCCTTTAAGCTCCCGGGTGTTGCTGGTGCTGCTGGTCCAGGACCACGCTTGAGGAGTGAGGGTAGATAATGGG